ACTGTTCTTTTTGACAAGAAATTCTACAGCACTCCCCTTTGTCATTTCCAGCACAGATTATGTTAGCTTTATTCAAAATGGCTACAAGCTCACTAATTAACATATAGAACTCAATAATCTTCATACCCGTAAGCCACCAAATGCACTGTTTCTCAACAGGAGGCAGTACTGTTGGCATTTTTCTTATAATTCTGTTTTGTAGGGGACTATCCTTGTTCCCCTATTCAGTTATACTGTCAAGGTACTCAGAAAACGAAAATAACCACAGACTTTTCTAAATGCCACCCAGCTACTTACAAGAGGAAAAATATGAAAAGATCAATTTCTATAATATAAAAAACCACCAAAATACTAAATCTAAGAAAGTTCTCCTTATGCACATGTCTATTATTCACTAAAAAAAAAAAAATAAAGAAAAAAATGCATTTCACTTATTTCCTTGCATGTCTCCAGAACAATATGGGGGAAAAACCAAAATCAAAAACACTCAACAGTAACACAAGTTATCTCCTGGCAGGGAACTATGTGACAAAACAAGTGTGAGGTGAAAATTTTTTATTGAGGACCTTTTAAGAATATTCTAAAAACTTAAGTCAGCATTTTTCAAACTTATGCATAAATTTCTCCAAGTGTGTATAGATTCTTTTTAAAAGGAATTATTACAGACCCCAAATATTTATAAGAATTACTTTTGCTATATATCGTGAAGCCGAACATTGTGACACTGATGAGTCAAATGCGAGAATGGTTACCCATGATGGACAGTGTTTGGTGAAGCTCCCCGATTAAAACAAGCTTGGAAGCAGGAGTGGCATCCACTTCCACAACAGCTTGCCTTGGGAAACCCTATAAACCTGGAGAAAGGACAAGTTATACAGGAGGTGCCCAGGACTTTCGTTCATAGAGGCGTGAGACTCGATGGCACTTAACAACAACAACATTTATCTATTTACAATCTCCTTTTGCTGGTGGCTTCATCATGACTAAATAAGTCAAACCAGAAACTCAGTGGGTTTTCCATTACAGGACAGTAACATGAAATTTCCTTCTTATCTGAGCTACTTGCCATGAAAATCATTCGGGGGGGGAGAGGGAAGAAAATTATTCTGGCCCATCCATCACTAGATTTGAGGCCTACTGGCCTAGTCCTGGTAGTGCAGTGGTTTATTCCTCAGCTGTTAATCACAAGACATATTATGCATGGACTGTCAAGAGAAAAAATAGGTCTGTCCTGGAGAGGGTGAAACAAAGTGGCTCTCTGGAGGCAAGGATTTTAAAGCTTGTCTCACACACTTTGGGCATGTTGCCAGGAGGGACTTGTCCTTGGTGAAGAACATCATGCTTGAAAGAGTGAAGGGACAACGCAGGAGAGGAAGATACAGGATAAGATGGATTGACACGGTGACTGAGGTAAAAGGAACAGGTGTGTCGGAAATAGTAAGAGAGGCTTAGGATAGGACAGGGTTCAGAGTTGCAGTTGACTTGATGGCACATCACCACCACCACAATAGGCTGGCAGTACCTCAGAAGATATGACAATCTAATCTGTTTCAGTAAAAAAAACAACAACAAACCATGGTAATACTATGAAGTACTTCTACTCTGTCTATAGGGTAACTATGAGTAAAAATCAACTAGATGGCACTGAATTCAACAATATTCCTCAGTCTACTCTTTCACACTAAGGTGCGCCTGATCCAGGCCATAATCTTTGCAATTATTTGCTATGCATCAGAAAGCTGGACTATGACTAGGGATGACAGAAGAGTTGATGCTTTTGAGCTGTGGTGCTAGAAAAGAGTATTGAATATGCCATGGACTGCTAGGAGAACAAAGAGGTTTGTCCCAGAGAGGGTGAAACCAGGATGTTCCTCGGAGGCAAGGATTCTGAAGCTTCGTCTGACAAGCTTTGGACATGTTGCAAGGCAGGATTAGTCCTTGGAGAGGGACGTCATACTTGGGAGGGTGGAGGGACAACGCAAGAGATGAAGACCCTAGATGAGATTAATTGATTCAGTGAATGGGGTAATGGGGGTGGGGGTGTCAGAGAAAATAAGATTGGCTGAGGACAGAGCAGGGTTTAGGGCTGTTGTACAGAAGGGCGCTGAGTTGCAGGCGACTTGATGGCACATAACTACAACAATTTATTAACATGCAATTTTTTAAGTCTTTGATGTTACAAATAGTTAAGCATTAGACCACTTTTTTAAAGTTTGGGGGTTCAAATCCACACAGACCTGGAAGACAAATCTAAGGAGTTCTACTCTGCACACATGGAATCTGAATTAACTGATGGCAACTAATAATTCATTTTTGTGGAAAAAATATGCCAGGGGGGGAAAAAGTTAATGGAGGAGAATTATAAATGGGGAAAAGGGAGTTAAAAGATAATGTAGCTCAATTGACAAATGGCTCTTAAGGGAGCTCTGATGGCCTAGTGGCAAGAAGCTACACTGCAATCCCAGAGTTACATGGTTTGAATCCACCAGATGCTCTGCTGGAGAAGGAGGGGCAATCTCCTCCTGTACCAATCAGATCCTATTGGACGGTACACAAACAGAAAAATAAATCTAAAAAAAAAATGGCTCTTACAGCATGAATAATTAGCAAGGGTGTTGCTGGTATTGTTGTTAGGTGCCATCAGGTCAACTATCACTCACAGCAACTCTATGAACTACAGATCTGAACCTTGACCTATCCTTTGCCATCCTCACGAGCTGTCCTGCTTAAGCTCATTGTACAAATCTGGATAAGCACATCTAAATTCTGTGTACAAGAATGAAAAGTAATAAGTTTCATAACATAATGAATGTAATTAATGCCACTGAATTGTACATGTAAAAAATGTTGAGATGTCTGTTCACACACACACACACACACACACACACACACAGTTTTGACAGAATATTTCTGCATATGTATTTACATGCTACAAATATTTCCACGAATATAGCAGACCAAAAAGGTGCAAAGGTAAAACTTGTTGCTGTTGTGCACCACTGAGTCAGAAATGAACCATAGCTGACCCTCCAGCAGGTTTTCAGAGACAGTAAATCACAAGGGAGGATCCTGACTGTCCACCCTTCTCCCGTGGAGCAGCTAATGGGATTCGAACCACATGTCTTTAGGACTGCAGTACAGTTTCTTACCACTAGGCCACCAGAGTTATAGAAAAATTCTTAGCTATAACCAAATACTATCGGTAATGTGTCACCGGGCCTAGGGGTTCAAGATCATAGTGTGAGATACCAAAGTCAACAGGGACAACATAGCCCACAATGAAAATGTTCTCCATCCTATGGTGAGGACCAATTAAGGGCCAAAAAAGCTTGTGAACAGTCATCTAAGGTGCAACTATTGATCTTGCTCCATCCTGACCAAAGAAGAGTGAAGAAAGTTAAGATGCAAGGAAACAACTAGGCCAAAGGTTAAATGTACCACGTGAACCTCAGCCTCCATGAACAGGAGACCAGAACTAGGTGATTCCCAGCTACCACTGCTGACACTCTGAAAGGGATTACTTTAGAAAATACTGGATAGAGTAGGAGAAAAATGTGGGACAAAATTACAAAAAAAAAACAAAAACAAGAGTTCTTCATGCCTGAAATTGAACATACTCTGTGGTTCAATTTCTGTCAATTAATTAGACAGGTCTATAACGTAAACTCTGCCTTTCCAGAGTACTGAGAAGCAATGATGTCAGTCTAGAGACTAAGATGTGCCTGATCCAGTCCATGGTCTTTGTGTTTACTTGCTATGTTTCAGAGAGCTGGACAATGACTAAGGAAGACAGATGAATTGATGCCTTTGAGTTGTGGTGCTGGAGAAGAGTCTTGAACATACCATGGACTGCCAATAAAACAAATAGGTCTGTCTTGGAGAGGATGAAACCAAGTTTCTCCTTGGAGGCTAGGCTTTTGAAGCTCTGTCTCACATACTTTGGGCATGTGGCCAGGAGGGATCAATCCTTGGAGAAGGACATCATGCTTGGATGGGGGGAGGGATGGTGCAGGAGAGGAAGACCCCAGATGAGAAGGGTTGATACAGTAAGTGATGTAATAAGGTTTCGTGTGTTGGAATCAATAGGACTGGCTCAGGACAGGATAGGCATTAGAGCTGTTGTACATAGGGTCTCTATGGGGTGCAGGTGACTTGATGGCACATAACAACATAAAATATACAAAATTAGGGAGGCAAGCATTTCTTAGAACAATCAACCATTCAAGATGAAAATTGTAACAACTGCCCAAGAATAAAGTTCAGAAGGCAGAAAGGGTCAGGAAAGGAGGAAGAATGGAAATGGGAAACACCAGGATGGAGTGGTACATGTGATGCTGTATTATGGAAATTGTGATCAATGTCATGAAACAAAATAGGCATAAACTATTGAATGGAAAACCAATTTGTTCAGTAAACTTTTACCCAATATGTGTAGAACTGTTAAATGAAAAAGTGATTGTTTCTGTAAACCTTGACCCAATTAACAATAAAAAGTTAAAATAAAATGTTAACTTGGTAAATGTTTTGTTACATAGACAAACTTTCCACAACTGAAAAAGAAGAGGAGTAACAGAGGGGTGGGAAAAGAATGAGCGGGACTTTAATTTTAGGTGTGAAGAAAACACACAGGTGGTGGTGGGGAAACCATGAAGTTGAAAAGGATTGTTATTTTAAAATGAAGCATAATCAAAGCCATTTTTTTAAATTCTAAAAATGCAAAATAACCATGTATTGACAAATAAAGAAAAACACAGTATTAGCTGACCTTGTATTTTAATATATAAATTAAGAATATGTAAATTAGCAACAACTTGCATGGTAGGAGCATGTGACAATTTTTAATTACACATATTAGCTCTACTCTGTCACAACTAAATCTCCCACAAAAAAGTCCCCATAGATGATAATTTTATTACCAAACCTGCATTTTGACTTTTATAATTGTTTCATAATACTTAGTACAGTGCAAGTACAAGCAGAAATGCCCCCCTAAAGGCCTTTCAGAGCACAGAGGCAAACACTTTCTCGTGGAGGAATGCCAGCTTTTCTGAGCGAGTTCGTTTCAGTAGTGGGAGCCATTCCCAGTGGGACAGCTCAACGACACGATACCCAAGCCGAAGCAGCTGCCGTCTCTTCATATTGTGCAGTCCAAGCAGATGGTTGGAACCATAGCAATACTGGTTCTTATTTGTCAACTGAACAGCCAGCTTCACTTGTGGGGCTGGCAGGTGGGCTGGGTCCGTCATCGCCACAGCCCCTGACTTGTCTGTCATACTGCAAAGGGGGCCTCCCCAGCATGGGACTGCCTTCCTCTCTAACTCCACAGGTTGCTGCTCAGTCTTGGACTCAACATCCCCTTGAAAATGCCCTTTTGATTTCCCCTTTAGTAGCTGATTGATTAGAGTGTCTGTTAAGCTGACTCCTACATGTTTAAGCCTTAATTTGTCTAACTCTTGAGTTAATATGGCTTCTCTGTTGAATGGTATTGGCTTCATGTTGACATCAAGCTGGACCTCTAAGTCAGAAGATCGGGTATGAGGCAAAATCATATGGTGCTTAACATACTGGGGCCCACCCAACATGGTCTCAAGTAAAAAGTGAGCTTCAAGAAATTCAGGCTTTGAGTTCATATCCTTCCTTGCCAAATTCCACAGCATTTCAGACCCGTCTTGCTGAAGGTGAGGACTCAGACGATTGCCTCTGTAATCTGGACACTCAACCCCAACTGTACCATCAAGAGTACACAGTTCCTTAGTGAGTTCAAATTTACTTCTCTCCTGAGCCAACCTGACAAACCTTGGACTCAGGGCAAAATCGATGAGCTCTGTTGGAAAATACTCCGAAAAGGCCAGGCCCAGTAAGCACGTGAGCAGGTGTTCGGGATATTGGTTAAATTCAGGCATTTTTCTGTGAATCTCACTTATCAGGCTGGAATAAAAGTCTTCTGTGTTGGGTGGCTTATAATTCAGAGTTCCAAATGACCACAAAATCTTAGCAACATCCTTACTTCGACAATATGCTGCCCTCGGAGGCAATGAAGCAGCCACAGCGTTCATCACTCCTTCGTCTAGGATGCGTAAGGCGGAACAGGCAAGGGTTAGATGCATGACACCCTGAACTCCCATGGAAGGAATTCGCTGAGGAGCAATCTGCCCAAACTGTTTCATGAAATTTATATGATCCACGTGTGTAAAGCGGAACATTTTAAGAATATTCACTAAAGCATAACTACTCAGATGCTGCATATCAGCACAAGCTAAGTCTCCAATTTTCCGCATGACAAACTCAGAGAGACTACTACTTGATTTAAAGAACCCCAAACAGATTGTACCAATCTCCTCTAAGTTGATCAACTCCAGGTAGTTAAGGATCAATGATTCAAGTTTCTGCATTAGGTCCTGGGGGCCCTGCCGATTTTCACCTATAATATATATTAAGTGAATTAGCTGTGGTAACGACAAATCTTTCCAGTGGAAATTAAGGTAACTAAAAAAGATTTTAAAAAATCGAGGTACCCTGCGGCCCAAGTTCCGCCAGAGATCAGCTACCAAAAGAAGCTCATCCAGGCTCATTTTCCACACTTGATGGCAAAATCTGGTTTCAAACACATCCAGCATTGGATGGGAGTGAGGGAGTCCTAAACTGGCAAAGGCTTTCAAAATACTGATCAGTTCTGGGGTCTCAAAGAGCTGTATGTTTTCCACACTCAGCCGGCAGAGCAAAGTAAAGCCAGCACTGGACAACAAGACAGGATGCTGCTCTGCAGGCAAAGAGCTCAGTTTACAGAAATAATCAGCAATGACGTGGGGCTGGAGATTGTGTTGAAAAGCTGTAATCTCGTACAAAATCAGTTCACCTTCTGAAAGAGACAGGGGCGGACCAGTTTCAGATCTGTTGTAACTGTGAAGCTGGTACTCTGGTCTCAGCTGTAGGAAGGCTCGGGGGTCTTCAAAGGAATCAAAGGCTTCCACATTCTCTTCAACACTCATGGTGCTTGGTGAGTCTGGCTGCAATGTGCTGACCTTAGAGGCAGAAGCCTTGTTGAATTCCAAACCCAGGAGGGCACCACTGGTTTGTAGGATCCTCCGAGATGAGGAAGTGCTACAAGGGCTCTTAACTTGTTTGCCAGGGTCCTGTCCCCCAGGCCGTGAGCAGCTGCTTCCCACATTCCAATAAGCCACACTTGGAGTTCCATTGTAGGTAAAAGGACTGCAGAACACTTGATATCCTAAAGGCTGTAGCAGCTTGAGAGTGGCTGCCATTCTGATGTCAGTACTGATCTCTTTGGCAGTCAGAACACAGTTCTCACAGGTGTGACCAGGCAATTTCTTGCCTGCATGGTACTTGATTAGAGCTGGTCGAGGACGTGTTCCACGGACTCTGCCTGGAAATCTTCGGCAAATCACAAGAGCCATGGATCACAAATGACTGGTGCCAGAGAATTGGTGCCAGATACTGAAAAAAGGTAGATGAAGAATGAGTGTACTCCACCTATCCTGATACAAAAATTCACACATCAATCAGAAATGGATTACAGTACATTGTTCATTCAAGTAAGTTCAATGCTAGTGAAATTTCCAAACCAAAGACTGAATATCTTATCAAAAATAAATAATACATGCTAAAAGTAGAGGAGAACCCCAAACCATTAGGCCGTTCTTACAGGAAGGAGCTTTCCCTCTAGGAAGATGCCCTATATTCAAGAGGGGATTAATGATGAAGAGACAGTTGCTTTGCTAACATTCAATGGGAAAGGAGGAAGGCAGATTTCCAAAAAGAAAGCTAGGAACAAAAAAGAATAACTCATCCCATCCTGCTTATATCAATGAATAAAGGTATGACTTGGAAAATAAGAAAACTTTGTAAAAGCTGCAATAATGACAGTATGAAATAAAGGTGGAGTTTGGTACAAGCTTTAATTAATCATATCCACCATGACTCTTTACTTTTTTTTTTTTTTACTCTTCACGTTCTTAAAAAACAAAATTCTAAATGACAGAATTATTTCACTAACGTTGTACAGTGACTACCACAAGGGGCTTGAGTGAGTTAAGAGACTGTGATGATGGTACAGGATAGGCAACATTCCTATCTGTTGTTCACAAGGTCACTAATGCATTAAAGCACCCAACAACAACAATGTTGTGAGAGGGGAGCTGTGGTGATGTAGTCCGCAGCGAGTTGCACTGCTAACCCAAAGGTGGTGCCTCTCTGGTGGTTCAAATCCCCAGTGCCTCCTCAGAAGAAGGGCAATCTCCCCCTGTGTAATCCACAGCCACCAAAATCCTGCTAGAAGGTCCGGTCAGCTGAGCTGGTTTCGACTGCACACCAATGAGTGTTTTGCTTTGGGTTTATTAGGGGCTTTTAGAATGCTGTGAGATCCTGTAACTTTTATAGAGGCTTATTTTCCTCTCTAGGAGGAAATCACTAGATTCACTAGAGTGAATCACTATGGCAAAACAGTTATGCAATGGAGAAGTAGACTAAAAACCTCATTTCCACTGCGATGATAGAGGCTGGGCCCTACCCTCTGACAATTCTTGAATGGGAAGCAAAGAACACCTAGGGCTGGAACACCAATTCACATGACTGCCCTGCTGACGAGCCAGCGAGCACCAGAGCTTTGCTCTGGAAAGGCAGGTTATCAAAGTTTCCAGTGAGCCAGGTGTTGATTACTTCCCTATCCTGCCTCCAATAGGTACAATCTCCACTTTGCTTCCACATATAAACCATGACATACAGTGGAATTGAGTCTGCCCTATTTGCTTTCTTCCCCTTAAGAAATTCCAAAGCCTGGCAGACAAGACCTAGGGAAACACACTGTCAACCAATGGCCCAAACAAGACTATGCTACCCCATGAGAGTTCCCAGGGTGCCAGAAAGACTTTCTGAAATGCCTGGCTGACTCTGCTATCAGAGCTCACAACGTAAGAACTAGGGAAGTACAGTCCAGGCCCAGCTTTATTCTGGTTGTCCAGCTTCACTCGTAGCATGGAATGCATTTTCTAATGTCTTTGTGAGCCAGAGAAGAATTCTTTCACGCTAAATTTTTATATACTTGGTTCTTTCAAAGTATATAAAATGGTAAGCAATGGATCATTATATACACTAAGTCGTGGATATACTAACACTGTAGATTCATCTGCTTCAGGCTACGGACTAGCAAACACCTATTCAGAGGCTAACGCTAGCCTTCTACCTGCTTTTGTAAATAAAGTCTTATTAGAATACAGTCCTGTCCATTCATTACACATTGTCTGTGGCTGCTTTCACACTACAAGGGCAGAACTGAGTAAATGTGACAGAGACCAGATGGTCTGCAAAATATACAGTATTTACTATCTGGTCCTTTACAGAAAAAGTGTCCCTATCTCCGGCTTGAGAATATCAGAGATGGTGAGGATGGCACAGGACAGGGCAAGGCTCAGCTCTGTTGTTCACAGGGTTGCTAAGAGTGACAGGCAACAGCACCTGATAACAGCCTCTACTACTTAGACCACGAGCTTATTCTTATGAATATAAATAACCAACATTTTAAAAATTAGGAAAACATTAAAAAATGTTATTGAGATAATCAGTCCAACACAAAGAGCAGCTAACACCATACTTTCAAAGCTACAGTACTTTGCTTCACCTTGGGAACTAAATCCCAAGGTAACTGAACAAACCACCAAAAAATGTACTTTAAAAAACAGAATAGCTATTCTAGTCTAAGTTCAAAAACTAACACACACTCATATGTCTACCCAATAGGACCCTATTCATAAGGTCAGTATTTGGCTAGGATCAACACAGAAAAGTACACAAATATCCAGTGGAATACAAACTGGTGTCACCACCTAAAATATATTTACATAAAAAGAGATAACTAACAAGCTCCTATTTATGGGAAGACTTTCTACAGTAATTTAGATAAATTAACTTCTCCTTACCTCTCTTCATAGGGATTACAAATGCTGCTACAGAGGAGTACAGGGATTATTTTAACAAAGATGCCTATAAATTATCAAAACTCTTAAGTTATATTAAAGAATTTAAATTGCTACATTAATATACTTAACCAAATTACTGTGCATGGTCCTAAAACAAACTCAAGAATCACTCACTAGAGTATGAATGTTTGACTGACATAGATCCAGTGTTCTGAACTGATGTGGCTCTTCGCACTTTGTAAAATATAGGTTATTATCTCAAGACAGAATTAATAAAGCTTATTGGCCTAGTGGTAAGAAGCTGCACTGCAATCCTAAAGGCCCATGGTTCAAATCTGCCATCTGCTTTGTGGGTGAAGGATAGATAATGTCCTTCCTTCACTGCCTCTGAAACGCTGCTACAGGGTCAACTCTGGGTCAGTTCCAACTTGATGGCACACAAGAACAATAATACAGTTGTTTTTTTTAAGGAACCCTGGTTGCTCAGTGATAAATGCTTAATGCTTACTGAAAAGTCAGTGGTTTGAACCTATTAACTGCTTTGTGTGAGAAAGATGTAACAGTCTGTTTCCATAAAGATTAACTGGGCGAGCTCTGGTGGCCTAGTGGCAAGAAGCTGCACTGCAATCTCAGAGGTACACGGTTCAAATAAACCAGATTCTCTGCTGGAGAAGGAAAAACAATCTCCTCCTGTATCAGTCAGATCTGATTTGATGGTACACAGAAAAAATAATGAAATAAAATTTTTTTTAAAAAGCCCAAAAATTTAAAAAAAAAAGATTTCTTGCCTTAGACCCTGTGAAGTAGTGCTATTCTGTGCTATAGAGTCTCTATGAGTCAGAATCAACTTGATAGTAGTGGGCTTGGAGAATTTTATTAGGTGTCTTCCAGAGTAGACCTTGTACGACCTACTTTAACTGCATTAGTTCCAACTCCTACACCCATGCTGTAAAGGAGGTTTATTATTCCCATACTATTGATGAGGATTCCTGAGGATAACATTATCAGGCTGCTAACTGAAAGGTTAGTTAGTATCTACCAGCCACACTGAGGAAGTTGGGCAACCTCTTCCTGTAAAGATTTACAACCCCCAAAACCAGATGGAGGATTGCTGTGAATCAGAACCAACTTGACAGCAGTGGGTTTGGATTTTTAATTATTGATGAGAGAAAAAAGGTTTCACAAGATTAAGAAACCTGTTCAAAGTTACACAGCCAAAGGATGAGGCTGAGTTTAATATCAAAGAAGACATGACTTAAAAAACTACACTGGTTATTGTATTGGAGAGTCAATACAATGGGAGCCAGGAAACACAGGCTCCAGGTCCCAGAGAGCTAGGAAGTTAGAAATGGCTAAGCTCAAAAGTTCCTCTCTTCTAGAGGAGCACTGTGATTAGTTTATACTGCTTACAAAAACAGACAGACCTCAAAAACGGAAAGAATAGATTTGACATACACATTTTTGCAACAACAGTGAAGACAAACTAAAAACACATATGTATGGGGGAAGGGGCAAGGAGAGAGAGGAAGGAAATTGTGCAACAGTGAATGAATAATAAAAAGAAAGTGAACTGGAGGAGGGAAGGGAGAGGGTGGAAATTATGCAACAATGAATGAATATGGGGGACAAAACAAAGTGAACTGAAGAGGAGAGAGGAAAATGCAATAATGAATAAATGAAAATCCAACTTTTTGGTAATGTTTTGTTAAAATCACAAAAAATTGAAAAAACCCATGGGTGTAGTTATGTATGTAGATATGTATATTAAAAGCCATATGTAAGTAAAAAGCACTTGCATGCATGTATGTCAGAGGTGTCAGTGGCCATATGTATGCATGTTTCTATGTGGTGTATATTTATATGCACAAATATAATAAACCACACAGGGGACACAGTTACAGAAGCTTCTTAGACATAGTTAAACAACTTGCACATAGGTTTATAAGGGTAAAAGACTTAGGACTTCTCAGAGGACAATTTAGTCAACTAGCAAACATCGTTCATAAAAATAATGTTCTACATTTTAGTTTTACAATGGAACCTGGGGTCTTAAAAACTTGTGAGTCAACCAGTAGACAATTACTGGTCTCTACCAGTATGGAGCAAAAGAGTGTGAAGTCATTCTAAGGCTCAAAGAAGAAACTAATCCTTAGGATTAATAATTCACATAAACCATAGTCTCTTCTTATCTAACAGTAGCTCATGGATTTAACAAAGTGCTACACTACTGCTAGGGAGCTCTGGTGGCCTAGTAGGTAGAGCATTGAGCTGCCAACTCAAAGGCAGCCAGTTCGAATCCAACAGTGGCTCCTCAGCAGAAAGACAGGCAATCTCCTCCTGTGGCATTTACAGCCTCCAAAAACCTACAGAACGGTCAACTATGAATGAGTCAGTGCCCAATTTTTGAGTTTATAGCACTACAGAGAGGGAGGGAGCAGAAGTTCATAAATAGTCTAAGCAGAAGGTTAATACGTGGCAGAAGA